GTTGCTGCTGCTGTTGTTGTTGCTGCTGCTGCTACTGACGCCGCCCACCATCACCACCACCCCTCTCTCTCTCTCCACCCTCTTACCCAACCCCTCGCTCTCTCTCTCCACCCTCCCCGCGCTCTTCTCTGTCATCGCGGCGCCGTTGACGTCTGGGCTACGTATCGAGGCGACATCCAGTCGGCGCACACGGCCGCCTCTGACGAGCGCCCGTACGTAACGAAGGCGGCGGCGGCGGTGGTGGGTAAGTCCCCCGTCACACGACGAGACTCGGCTTCGTCTTCACTCGCGCGCGGCTCGTCGCGCACGCCGGCACGTCGTGGGGTGTGCTCGAGGCGCAAACCAGCGTCGTGTTTGTCTCTCTTTTCTCTCTCTCTCTCGCGTCGCCCTTCAGCCCGGGGCCTCCCCAGTTGTAATGGCTGCTGCTGCTGCTGTTGTTCTTCGCTTGCCGATCGCTGATGCTGCCCGCCCGACAGCCCGCCCGACAGCCCGCGCGGCCTCCCTCCGTCGCGCTGTTTTTGCCGTACTAGAACGAGTTTGTAATCGTGAACTTTTCGGAGGGGGTGGGGGAGCGGATTTAGTGGAGCGAGTTCGTCCGTCCGTCCGGGATGAGTTCCTACTGCTGCTGCTGCGGCCTTTTTTTATCGGAGCGTCCGCGTCTACTACTACTTCCCTGGACTCCTCGATCCTCACGACGTGCGGCCTAGTGAGGCTCTGCCGCCCTCACCACGCCTCAGACCGGCAGGGTGGCTAGGCTAGGTCGATGCGTGTTGGCGGGAACGCGCGGTGTGGCGCCCGGCCCAGCGGCGTGCGCGGGAGATCGCGATGGTTGATCGTCATGATAATGATTTTGTTGGTGGTGATGATAGTTTTTTTGGTGATGTTGATTATGGTTGGTGGTGATTATTATGGTGGTGATCGTGGTGGTGGGTGGTGGTGGTAATTGTGATAACGGTGCTGGAGATGGTCGTGAAGGTGCTTGTTGTTAGTTATATTTTATTCGTGGTTGGTGATCGTGATTTTTTTTAGTTGCGATTGATAATTAATGATCTTGAGGATGGCTGTGATTGTAACAGTGGCGATTGCTCCAGTACAAGTTTGTGGTGGGGTGCTAGTTATTTATTTTGGTTTGTTTATATTGTTGGTTGTTGCGATCGGTTTTTTGTATGGACGTGGTTTTAGGTCTCCCTTAGAACGGGTGTCTTTACGTTGTTTGTGTTATCGGCGTATAGTATTGGTCCTGTTATGGTGAAAACTATTTCATCAAGACTGCTACTAGGATTTAGCCCTTCATGTGTATATATACAATTATTTTACAGCATTATAACGCTGTATAATAATGGCGCTATGTGACTGATTATCATGTCGTGAATGGTAATATCTAGTTTACATAAGGGGTAATGCTGTTTACAGATAAAATAATGACCGCATGGTTACGGTAACTTAAATTGTGTTAATGGTAGTGATGGAGCTTCTTATATGCATTGGGTTGCCATGTGGTGGTGGTGTTTTTGTTACGTAGTGATTGATGTAAGGTTGTTGTGGTTAGTAAAGTCGTGACTTTGGTGAGGTATTGTGAACCATGTATTCAGTTGGTCTCTTTAGTAGGTTGTGTTCATAGCGATTGACCTACACGATGCTAAAAAGATTGTGTAAGGTAAAAAATCAAGGTAAGAATAGGCTGTAAATGTAGGGGTGAACATTTGATTCACTTCAGGGCTACCATCAGTGGCGAGCAATATCTGAAATAATCCAACCGGGGCCCTCTTCCCAACACCGTCACCTCACCAACCCGCATTAACTAGCGTTGTGTATGGTCAACAAGTTCATTGGCGATACTGAGAGGGAGGCATTTGTCTCTTAAGTGGATTGACAGATATATACAAATGTAAATATTACATTTCGCATTGCCTTTATATTACAAGAGTTTGGAGTCAACGGTTTGGCAACCCCCGTTCTAAGATCTGCCCCCGAAATATGTCCTGTTCTCTGAAGCTGCAGTTTTTTACCGTATGTATTTGTTTATATTTTTTTTATAATCATGGTTTATTCAGATTTATGCATAATGCTGTTGGTGAGGGTGATGTCCAGGGTTGTAATATGGGAGCACTACTGAGTTTCGTTGGTTATCGTTATTAGTATTGTGTAGAGGTTGATGGATTGTTGTTGAAATTGTACAGTATTCTGGTGCTGTTTTATTTTGGCGGCTGTGGAGGGAACTTGTTAATTTTCCCATAAATGACCATCATACAAGAACATAGAATATGCTTTTTTAAGCAGTTGTCTCATTTCTGAGTTTGAAAGAAGGCCTATTCCCATAAAATGTAAGCTTAACGATGTGTTAATTACTTTAAAGAAATTTCAGTTTTATTAGGAATAATTAGCAGTATTCAAGTGATGTTATAGTTTATTTATTGTGCTTGGTCGAGGTAATTGTAGCGTGCCATATGTATCTTGATGTATTATGAACGGCACCTCATTTTGTCCCAAATTTTTGTACAAGCTTCATCGTATTCGTGATTGACTTGATTGAATCTTAAGTCTAACCCACTGTACCTTCAGTCAAATAACTTGTCATCTAACTTGAGATTCAGGGCAAAGGAACTGGCTTGGAGAAAAGATTGGTTTAAATCTTGTAACGTTTCATGGTAAACATACTTTCCAAACATTGACTGCAATGTATCTGAGTAAATGGTACGTTATTTTTAGTGTAGATATTGTTTGAAAAAACGAATACACCTTAATCTCCATGTATTATGCCTTGTTAACTTTGTGGTTATTGCACTGCCGCGTTTGTCCCTTCCTTACATCTCCCATCCAGTTTTCAACTCGGGTAGATGACATGCGACATCAAAATCCCAACGTAAAACTGTTTTCGAAACAAGTGAACCTCTTGTGAATAAGTAAATTATTATTTTGTAATGGTATTCTTAGTTTATTGCCACCATGCACCAAATTGTCTTGTCTGCATTGTCTTTATATCCTTGTGTGCCTGAAAGCACCAAAAATAAAGTGATACAGTACTTCCTCATTTATGTATGCTTTGGTGCATTGCAATGAGGATATGGGGTTGCCGAATGGGCGGGCAAATCCTTCCCACAGTCTATGAACTCATGGTGACGTAATACTTGCTAATTTATAAGGTTGGGCCATAAGTTACTAATTTAAGAATTACAGCGTTTAATTTATTTCTACCAACATTCATAAAAACTAACGTACACCACAGCATAATGTGGTGCTGCATTGTCAGTGCTCCCACTGCATTATTTTGTGTGATACACTGCATAGGAGACTCAAATTATTGACTTGGTGCGATATAATTGAAGATTGTCTATTCTTTGGGAAGGTCATGTAAATGTATTATTTTCGCTGCAGTGGGTGAGGTGTTCAGGCTCTGTTCACAAAACACATGTTCATAATGCACTAATTGAAATCAGTTTGAAAACTTTAACACATTTTCTAAAATATATTTTTTTGCCTTGAATGTCTAATGAAACAGCTTTAAATGTGTACAATATTTATGCCACTTAGGAACAGAAATTGATAACCAGTTCCATCCACTATAGTTTTGGTATAAATTTCTAAAAATAAAATGTTATGGACAATGCCAAACGCCATTTTATTTGACCTTTATATGCAGTGTATTATCAAGTAACCAGTGGTGATGTCACGGCACAATACGCTATGCACTGACTTGGAAAACTGCTTAATAATATACTGTAATGTTTGTATTCCCCCATGTAAAGCAAGGTAATCAGCTTGAAGTTTGGGTTTCGCATGCAGCTTGAGAATCTAAAAATAAACCATGTTAAATACAGCACAAGGATTTACAGTAACCTTTATCCTCTTAACTCCAACACAACGTAAATAGTTCACTTTTTATTTATGGTAAATGCGTGCACAGCAATCATAAAGTAACTTGAAAAGCGTGCCTAGTACTATATAATTACAATGTCTTAACTTGATTTTCTCCATTATAGATCACTGTACACGACTACTATATTTATGGTTTTGAGTGTGAAAATTATTTAGCTTGTATAACCATCGCAGGTATGTCAGCCAATGCAACTGATTGAAGAATTGGTGAATGAAACTGGGATTATATAGGAGGGCAATTGTCTTGTGGTGCTTTTATTACTTGGATCCAGGTGTGCTTTACAGAAATGTTAACGAAGTTGTACTAAACATACTTGCAGCCTGGAAATACTCACGTCTTCAGTTGTGAAAGTTGTAAACATTACACATTAATGAACTAGAATATGTTTGTGGAATACATCATTAATATATGATTGCAACTATGTCAGCAGGCTTACCTAATGCCTCCCACTGTAAGGTTACACGTCTTATTTTTATTGGGTGTCGTCATAATGTATTTCCATCGAAGGTGTTTTGGGCGATACATGTAGCCAAAAGAGCATTACAGCATTGCTTCACAGCATTGCTTTGCGAAGGAAAAAAACATTTGATAGTTTTAAATTACATGTGTCAGCTAATGTCCACAATTGCTTTTCTGGATGTAATTACTGTATACATCTTGCAATGTATTATAAGCCTGTGTATTATATAGTCTCACTTCTCAGTGCTTTTAAGCGTGTTAACATTAAAAATGGTCATTCACAAATGTCATGAATTAAAAACACTTTTAACATGTTATGAATTCGTTTTATAACTGAGATTTAGTTTTAATCAGAAGGGATTTTTTTATCTCATTGGTCACTACAACCAAACAAATGTACAAAATAACTGCTGATAATGTTTTCCCCCTTTTTCTCGCAACAAAACAGGTGTTAAGATGTTAAAACACCAAACTGAAACCTTTTATAAGGAATCATGTCTGCATTAACCGCAATGCTTGTGGTTAGAATGCAAACAAAAAACATACTCTGATAATATATGCATTGTCCTTGAAACTGATTGGTCCAACACCGTTTGAGACAAGGCTCAAAAGAAAGATGTCTCTAGTGTGGACCAATCAGTTTCAAGGACAAGGCATATATTATCAGTGTTTTTTTTTGCTTTCTGACCACAAGTATTGTGGTTAATGCAGACATGATTCCTTGTAAAGGTTTAAGTTTAGTGTTTTAGCATCTTAACACTTGTTTAGTTGCCAAAAATGGGGAAAACCCTATTATATTTTGGTACTGGCAAAGGGAGGTCCCATGATGTAAAATAACTACTTTTGTGGTCTTTAACAAGTGACAAGTGAAGACCAAAAAGTGAGGAAGAAAAATCACTGATTGCACTCCCCAAAAAACAATCACAGACACTGATATGACGGCTGCTGAATAAATATGAATACTAAATTAACGAACTGAATAAACTAATTCAAATGACGGCCCACTGGTCATTTATGTAACACATCACGTGTAATTGAAAAATAAAGATTCTTTTTTGCATATGCGACTGAGTGATGGTTTTAATATCTATTGGATGTTGTGCAACAACTGATTTGAACTATTTTGGAATGTGCAGCATTAACGCACCTTAGCGGCAACAATTCCTCATTACATTTCCAAAGGGAATGTATTATGAATGGTGTACTTTTAGTTTCGATTACTTGGAAGTAAAAACCCTTCGAATTTTACCAGATGTCTGGATTAAGCAAGTTTTACATTGAAGCACTTTTAAGCTAACTGATTGCATTTTCACACAACCAGTCCAATAATTAATTCCCAATGAGCCAATCGTGATTTTTGAGCTACATTCTACAAAGGATTGCAATCAACATAGGTTAAATATGAGCTAATGCTCCTGTTATTTGTCGTTGAAAATGCACAAGCTTTAGAAAAATACACATGCCACACCTATAACATGAGGTTTAGAATCTGAGGCTAATGGTGATGCACCATATGGAGGTTGCATATGTGTGCGTTTACGATGAACATAGCAAAGTAAATAGAGTCTGCTCTTTCAATGCAACACTGATGGTTTTTTGATAGCATGAATTGGTGTGACAATGAACATATTTGACCACGTTGGAAGTGGATTCAACCAGACATCAAGTCTACAGGGCTACAATGTTTACATTACAGGATGTAGATAGCCAATTGTCATAATTTTAAAAAATATATATCATTTATTCCAGATACACCAGTTCTCCCACACTTAAATACAATCAGAAATTGGTCAACAATTTAAAGCGACATACTCCAGAGTTTTGACACTTGCTATCTGCAGTGAATGCCTCTTCCCATATCTGCCAAAACTTGCTTGGTGCACCTGGAATAGGCAAGTGGAGCTGGAGATCCATGCAAAAAATGCCAAACGTGCCAGTGGAGGTGATGCCTGTTCCATGTGATATGTTACACTGCTCACTGCCAGGGCAAATGTACATGGCTTCCTTTGAGCAAATTGGCTGATTATTGAGATGGCTTGTCCCATTAAAGTGCAGCCTCACTTTATTTATCTACAATTGAAGATTGCGGTTGCAAGATCCACTGCTGTACGCTTGCCAATGAGTAATAACCTGAGGACCGGTAAGGTCATTAACACGCAATACTTAAATTACATCATTAAAAAACGTGTTTTGCACTAGACTGCAATGCTGTCTGAATCTTTACAAAGTTTCAAAAAAATGTAGATGTTATAGTGCCCCACGACTGTGTACAGCAGGTCTCAATCACCCAAATGGAACTAACAAACATCGTGATTAATGAACCCCTGTCCATCTGCAATGTTCTCCTTACTACCATATTCGCCCAGCAAATGTATAGTGATTGTGTGTTAAATGCAGTTCCAGGTAGACATTTCAACAGAACTGAAGTACTTTGCACTTCCAGATTGAAAACAAATCCCTCTTCTGCACTTGCAGTTTGTGGCAACGGGTTAAGCACGCTTGCTCAGCAGTAACGTGGGTACAATGGTGTCTCGTTACCCGTTGTTAGGTCATTAACTTGAACAAATGGCTCTGCCTCATCAACTCGAGCAATATTCTTGTTTTTACTCCCGGTTGTAAGCAGCACAAGAAGAAGAACTTTTACAAAATGGTGAATTTAAAAAAAAATGTTTTCAGACTGCCATCATTCTTATTGAGTACAAGTGCATTCACTGTGGATAGTAAGTTACCGCCATAATGTAGTTTTTTTTTGTTAGATCGCGTAAATATATAAATGTGTCATAAAAACCCGCCACCAGCTGACACAGCCAAATAGTGAAGTTTGTCGCTTAAACAGAACATGTCAGTTAAGTAGTACAGCACACCGGTGTGTTGGAGAGCAACGCCACAATATTTACAATCTATAGAGTAAGTTCCCTATAGAGTATCACTGGTAGAGCGAGTTATTATTTGACTGCTGATTACATTGTTACACAATTTTTGTTCCTGGGTACTGTGTTATTTATTTAATTGCTTATGCCTCCTAAAAAGTATAGAAAATGGCTATTATTCCCCAGGACTTTGTGAACGAAAGACACAAATACGTTTTCTCATTGAAAATAGGTACATTTCTAAATATTTACCTATCTTCGAGAGATAATGATTTGAGGCAACCCACAACTGGGTCTTTAAATCAGTTGTGGGTCAAGTTGCATAACATCTCAAGTAGTATAATTTGAAAATGTAATATCACCTCCATTACAATAGCATATTACCGCAATAAATAACCATGGTTTCTCAATCCCTCTATACCTATTTAAAACACGTTTCATGAAATTACGGGGCTGCTTTGAAAATACACATTTGTCGTGTTGGTGCATTTTGTTTGATGATGGCAGGGCTTGGAGGGTTCAACGCAGCATGTCAGAGGGACAGCAGGGTGTTGTGTCTGTGAGTGCCGGAGAGGGAGAAACACAGCTCGTGACAGTGGAGCAGGTAATGCACTGCTTACATTACGTAACTTTGAACGTTTGCGCGCTTGCTCACTCAACTCACTCGCTGGACAGCTGACCTAACTCACACTCGATTACTGTGTACAATGATGCACTCGCATAGCTATTCACCCTTCACTTACTCGTTCGTCTACTTGCCAATTGTATCACTCATGCATGGAGTCTTGCTCCCATTGACTCCTCTCCACTCTCACTCGTACACACATTCGGGTCCCTTCTATGTGCACTGAGCAATTCATTTCCACGAGGGTTATTCGGTAATATTTCCCCGTGCATATATATGCCACAAAGCACTTCAGACTTTTGTCTGGCAGCAATTTGTACAGAAAACTGAACCAAAGCTGACCATAAGATGTACACATGCCTTCATAGGGGTAGATCTAGACAGTGTTAGCTTGTTCAGTTTGAGTAGCAAGTGTGCTGATGCGTGAGCAGCTATGCTATGGCTACAGAACTACTTAATTTTATTACATTTGTGCCCCCATCTTTGTGGCTGTGCCTTTGTGTGTTTTCCTGTATGCCTCCATACTTTTGTGTACAGCTGCAAGTGTCTGCTGCAGGCCAGGTGGTGACAACAGGTGGCCCAACCATGGCGGTGGTGCAGCTGCCTGGCGGGCAGACGGTGCAAGTGCAGTCGGTTATCCAGGCAGCACAGCCTTCTGTTATCCAGTCTCCACAGATACAGACCATACAGGTGCGCAGGCCTTTGTTGAGCTTTAACAGGGTGCTTCGGAGAATATCAGCAGTTTTTGTTGTTGTTGTTGTTGTTGACGTTTGTGGATCTAATTACTGCCAGCTATACAGATACGACGGTGGTGATAAAATTACATCGTATCAAAAAAAGTATTGCAGTTAGGAGAGGAGGGTAATAAGTCAAGTAATATAGTAAGTACTAAGCATGGTCTACACTCGTTGGTGTTCTCTGCTGGCCCTCATTTATAGTGCACATGTAAAGCAATGCTATATACAGTACTCATTTTATTTTAATTCGTTTCCACGATGTTGATGGGTCTAGCAGTCTGATGGAATGTTTTTACATGTATGCACTGAGAGGTGAATTTCTGTTGCATTCTATACACATTATGAAAGGGTCCCTCTTAACAATTTTCCCACAGGTGGCTGCTATTTCCGAGGAGGCTGCAGATGGCTCTGCTATCTCACAGAAGCGACGGGAGATCCTGTCCAGACGGCCCTCTTACAGGTCAGTGGAACATCGGAACCTCTTGCGTTTATGTCACTTGATTGATTTATCGTCTTCTGGGTGGCACTAGTTAGAGCCCTAGCCTCACAATTCAAACTCTATCAGTTCAAATTCTGGTCAGGGGTCAATGTGGCTCATCGTTTTTATTGAGCCATTAAAGTGAGTAGCTCTCTGTGAGGAGTCAACAGGAAGTTGCTAAGTGGAGGGAATCATTCTGCCAGAGGAATGGTGCTTGTGTGGCTGACATTTGGTGACCCCTTTCACCACACAGGAAGATACTCAACGACCTGTCATCAGATGGACCTGTGGTGTCCAAGATTGATGAGGAGAAGAGCGAGGAGGAGGGCACAGCTACCATCAGCACCGTCACATTGCCCACACCCATCTACCAGACCAGCACTGGCCAGTACAGTAAGTGGATTCACATTTGTGGGAGAGTTAAAACGTCAAAAAGGGTGTAAAGTGTCCAGGCTTGGGAAATTGTTGTTTACTTAAAGTTATGTATTCACAAGAAGCCATCCCAGTGATAATGAGCGATAGTTGCAGTGTACAATTATGTTGTGGAAAATATTTTTCAAATAAACTTTTTTATTTCATTATGTCACTGCAGTTTCCTTAACTTAGGCACTGCAGCTTTGTGCTTATTTTGTATACATTCACTTAAAATGACTTGGCAAGTATTGTTAAAGTTATCATTCATTATACTCCCTGTTTTTACATGAACAAAATGTGTTTAATGGAAAATGAATATATGCAGATATTGGCTTATCTTTAATCTGTATACCTTAAAATGTAGTTTCTTTTCACCGAATTGTCTTTAAACATTCGTGTTTTCTTCATGGTTTTAGTGCAAAAGTATTTATTTCTATTTTTGCCGTAATATTGATTATTACTTTTTTTTTAAATTACATCTCGAATAAAAACACTTCCCATGAGTGTGCTGCTCAAATTTAAATGTTTAATTTCAGGGATTTATTTTGCATGTGATAAAATGTCAGGTCGGGGCATGTTTATTGATTCTTTGAGATGCAAGAAGGTTGTCAAATGACAGAATTGTTGTGGAAAATGTAAACCCGAAAAACCAGATCACACTGTATATGTTTAACACAAGATCAAGTGGTGTGTAACAATGGTTGTTTGCATATGATGACAAGATACAAGTGCATATACATGTACATATATGATGGTGTTTGTGTAGTTTTATAATACAGGTTTCCCTTGGTTCATGCAATAGATGCGTTTCAAAAAAAGTGAACGCCAAGCGAAAAAGAAAGCTGCATGCTGAGTAGCGCATACAGCACACACAATATTCCACGTCCGACTTTATAGTCGCATAGAAGTGAATTCAAACAGCATACAGTGAGGGATAAAAGTATTTGATCCCATGCTGATTTTGTACGTTTGCCCACTGACAAAGAAATGATCAGTCTATCATTTTAATGTTAGGTTTATTTGAACAGTGAGAGACAGAATAACACCAACAAAAAAATCCGGAAAAACGCATGTCACAAATGTTATAAATTGATTTGCATTTTAATGAGGGAAATAAGTATTTGACCCCCTCTCAATCAGAAAGATTTCTGGCTCCCAGGTGTCTTTTATACAGGTAACGAGCTGAGATTAGGAGCACACTCTTAAAGGGAGTGCTCCTAATCTCAGCTTGTTACTTGTATAAAAGACACCTGTCCACAGAAGCAATCAATCAATCAGATTCCAAACTCTCCACCATGGCCAAGACCAAAGAGCTCTCCAAGAATGTCAGGAACAAGATTGTAGACCTACACAAGGCTGGAATGGGCTACAAGACCATTGCCAAGCAGCTTGGTGAGAAGGTGACAACAGTTGGTGCGATTATTTGCAAATGGAAGAAACACAAAAGAACTGTCAATCTCCCTCGGCCTGGGGCTCCATGTAAGATCTCACCTCGTGGAGTTGCAATGATCATGAGAACGCTGAGGAATCAGCCCAGAACAACACGGGAGGATCTTGTCAATACATGCCCGTCTGAAGTTTGCCAATGAACATCTGAATGATTCAGAGGACAACTGGGTGAAAGTGTTGTGGTCAGATGAGACCAAAATGGAGCTCTTTGGCATCAACTCAACTCGCCGTGTTTTGAGGAGGAGGAATGCTGCCTATGACCCCAAAAACACCATCCCCACCGTCAAACATGGAGGTGGAAACATTATGCTTTGGGGGTGTTTTTCTGCTAAGGGGACAGGACAACTTCACTGCATTAAAGGGACGATGGACGGGGCCTTGTACCGTCAAATCTTGGGTGAGAACCTCCTTCCCTCAGCCAGGGCATTGAAAATGGGTCGTGCATGGGTATTCCAGCATGACAATGACCCAAAACACACGGCCAAGGCAACAAAGGAACGGCTCAAGAAGAAGCACATTAAGGTCCTGGAGTGGCCTAGCCAGTCTCCAGACCTTAATCCCATAGAAAATCTGTGGAGGGAGCTGAAGGTTCGAGTTGCCAAACATCAGCCTCGAAACCTTAATGACTTGGAGAAGATCTGCAAAGAGGAGTGGGACAAAATCTCTCCTGAGATGTGTGCAAACCTGGTGGCCAACTACAAGAAACGTCTGACCTCAGTGATTGCCAACAAGGGTTTTGCTACCAAGTACTAAGTCATGTTTTGCAGAGGGGTCAAATACTTATTTCTCTCATTAAAATGCAAATCAATTTATAACATTTTTGACATGCGTTTTTATGGATATTTGTTGTTGTTATTCTGTCTCACTGTTCAAATAAACCTACCATTAAAATTATAGACTGATCATTTCTTCGTAAGTGGGCAAACGTACAAAATCAGCAGGGGATCAAATACTTTTTTCCCTCACTGTATAGTGCATTTTGGGTTGAAATAGGTAGGTAGCATATACGCGAATTCGCATAAAGCGAGGAAACCTGTATCGGAACTTTTATTGCCTTGCTGTTGAGGCACATTTCTAAAACTTGGGCGGCCGGTGAAGATGAGTACCTCTCAACACTTTTGAACTTGGAGACAATTTAACTCTTTGTAAATCGGAAATTACATAAACTTGCCATTTGGTGGGACATTAACATTTGTTTTAAAAAATTAATGACCAGTAATATAGGAGTGTGGAAATTCCACCACGGATTCATGGCTCTCAACATGAATGAGCGCAGCCTCTAATGCTCATTTTGGCATCGAAACACTTTCTGTCTTAAAAACCACATGTACTCGGACTATAAAGTATTGCGTGTCACCCATTTAGCTCGTTCTGGTGTATCTCCACAGTTGCAATCGCGCAAGGTGGCGCGATACAGATCGCCAATGGCGCGGAGGGTCTCCAGGCGCTGACCATGACGAACACAGGCAACCAACAAGGGGGCGCCACCATCGTGCAGTACGCACAGACCAGCGACGGGCAGCAGTTCTTTGTACCGGGCAGCCAAGTCGTCGTGCAGTGTGTGTATTGCCATCGCATGACCTACCATTCCATGTTCTGTGTATACATTCTGCTGCCTTGTACACACAGCCAACTGTGTTTAGGAACAAATTAAATAAATAATAACAGAACATGATACAAGGAGGAACTATGAACAGGCGATGCCCTATCAAAATGGAATTAAATGGTAAAAAATATGATGGCAAGAACAAAATTATGGTTCACCACAATTGAACACAAACAGGGCAGATGTTTTTTGTTCGAATGCATGTTGATGGACAGAGGCCTTCAGATCCACAACGCAAAGCGGCAGCTATGCGACTTACTCTTCACCAAATTAATCTGACCCAAGACTTCATTAACGAACCCTTACAGTGTGAAAACCGAACTTAAATCAGACAGTGGTGGTACTTTTCCAGGCGGTATCGACACGCATTGACCTTCAATCACCGTGACCGTGTCCACAGCTGCATCAGGCGAGACGTACCAGATTCGTACTCCGACGAGCGGGCTCTCTCAGGGCGTGGTGGTGTCCGCGTCCCCGGGGGGCTTGGCCAGCCCCCAGGGGGGTGCCGAGGAGTCCACGCGCAAGCGCGAGATCCGCCTCTACAAAAACAGGTGCTGCCGCTGCGACCGCCACCACAACTCGTAAAACACGGGGGTGCTTCTCACACCGATAGTAAAGGAGTGGAACATTTGCGGTCATCCAGATAAATTACACATGCATGACAGCGGATTGACAAAGTACTGTAATTTTTTTCAATTTTTTTTATAATTCGTTTATTACCAATGAAACTCGTTTTAGCTGGCGTCAGAACAGAGTTGCGTCATTGATGATGCATTTCTGTCCGCCACCTTGTCAAGTTCTGACCACCAGATCACATTCTGATTTGTGAAAAGGTTAATGTGTGGGATAGTATTGAACAGTTTTGGGAGCTGGAACTCAATTTTTTGAACAGTATGGATACTTAAACTCAGAAACATTTGTTTTTTGTCAAAACTTTAGCTGGTTACTGCATGTCATGTGACTAGATCTACAGTATCTGCATTTCCATGTGATGGCAGAACTCCTTGTGTAGTCGTGAGCTGAGCAGGTAGTGCATATTGTCTCCAAATATTGCACCACAGCCTTTGTTAAACGTAACTTTGGTAATTATTTTTCAACTGTGTTGCAAGCGATGTTGATAATAAAAACTGTTAAGGAATTTTGAGCAAAGTCGCAAAGGAGTCGGACCCAAATGTAACTCTTTCCCTGTTATTGTAGCCGTTGTTTAACAGAGACACATTCAAACATCAATGCAGACAATAGAGTTGCAATATAATTGCAAAGAACTAGAGGCCGACCGAAATTCGGTTTTGGCGCAGAAAGTTGGCATATAGCCACTTTCGGTTTCGGCCGAAAGTCAATTTCTTACTTTGGGTCTGGTTTCGGTTTCGGCCGAAACTGATATTGACTTTCGGTCGTCGACCGAAGATCTATTTTTTTTATTAACGCTAGTGCTACGTCTATCAGCCGGTCAGTCGGCACTAGGCAATCCTATGCGATAGGCTGCATACGCACACACACGTCAGCAGCAGCAGCAGCTTGCGAGCGAGGTTACAGCCGCAACCATGGTCTGGGGCCGTCAATAAATGACGTCACGCACCTAGGCGGGGGGAGGGGGGGGGCAGACATTTGTGACGATGTGTGACGATGGGGGGGGGTTTGAGAAATATGACGTCACATCAAAATGCGCAACTTTAAATAAATATAGACAAGACGTTCTACTTAATTACATAGACTTTTTAATGAATGTTTTCTCCTACAACATCAGATTGTAGCGCCACATTAAATACGTGCTATAATGACAATAGTTTAAAGCGATTTGAAGCATGTAAACATTGCCGTGGTGCTGGCCACCCACCCTCTCGTGTGCCGTGCCGGCCTACAGAGGTGCTCGCTAACAGCACTTGCCCCCGACAGTCTCACAGGCTACACGGGGGATCTTTGTCTTTAGCCTGTGTGTGTGTGGGGGCGTTCAGCGACTGCGTACCCGGCGGCCCGAGTTCGATTCCCGCTCACGGCCAGTGACGATTATTTGAACCGGTCCTGGGCCTCCCCTAGGTCTACTCGGCCTCAAACGAGTAAGTGGTGTGGTGTGTGAACATCGCCACTGGGGAGACAAAGGCGGCCGGCCGTGGTGAATCCAAGTCCCGGGCGACATCGGGTAGTAAAGCTAGTATTTCATAAATCTTGTGTTCGGTAACTTCGGTAATATACCTTTCTGTTTCGGTCTTGGTCGAAAGTGTAGTTAAACTTTCGGTTTCGGCATTCGGTTTCGGCCGAAAGTGAGATGTCGTTGCTTTTTAAACGCTTTGTAAATCCCAATAGCTTTGTAGACATACCTCGCGCATTGACTGCGTGTGTGTGCGTGTGTGTGCGCCCAATCTCAGGGAGGCAGCACGTGAATGCCGGCGGAAGAAGAAGGAGTACGTGAAGTGCCTGGAGAACCGCGTAGCCGTGCTGGAAAATCAGAATAAGACCCTCATTGAGGAACTCAAGACACTCAAGGACCTGTACTGCCACAAGAACGACTAGCACACACACACGCACCACCCACAAAACTCGCTAAACCCGGGTCCTCATGGTAACCATGGTCCCCAGCCTTGCCCTTGACACGATCCGAAAGACTCCTTTTTTCTGAATGCCCTTACCAGCCTAGAAGAAGTCTCGGTAGGTTTCATCCAAAAAAACAATGGTAGGGTGAGTTGCAAGCGCTTGCTTCACTTTTTGGCATATCGGCAGTTTCCACTGGAATTCTCAGCAGAAAACTGCAGATATTTGGCAGTTGATATGGTGAATGTTGGCTGTAATTGCCTTTCTGCAAGCACAGAATGGATAAGAGATATTCCTGTAATTGTCGAGGTATACAAGGTAACTTTCCCATCGCCAAAAAGTTAAAAGAAAACCAACAAAATGTAAGTCTCTATGAGCAACTTAAGTTAGATTTTTGCTGGATGAAGCAAACTGCTGCGCTTGGCCCAGTAAAAGAAGATAGCTTAAAACCTAGTCTTGGGCATAAATGGTAATGTAAAAATGATTTTAAAAATAATAATATTGATGTATTTGCATAAAACTTTTTTGGTTTATATTATAGGATGTAATGAATATATATAAAAATGGTTCATAAGATTTATATTTTCTACTTTATCTGTTCTGTATTTTAATTGGATAGAAGATATTTGGATGCCTCGCATTTATTTATCCATTTTTAGTGACGCGATTATTACCACAATAGAATGCCTGTTAAATAGAAAGCACTGCAGTAATATTTGGCTTTTGATAACAAGTTGCAGTGTTTCCATTGACCGTTTAAGGCTCAATATGATGGGTGCCCTTTCGTGATTTGTATGTTTTGTAAAATCAACAATACATTTCGGCCATGAGCATTGGCATGCATTGGTTATTTAAAAACACTCATTTACAATGAAATAAATAAAAACATGCCTTTTGCAAAATGGGTATTTTTGTGCTGTTAAATAGGCCCACATTTTGAGGTAAACTTTTACACGGAGATGTATCCATTTTTTTAAGTCATATGCATGCCATGGAGCCTCATGTACAAACTTGATTTTTCAAAGAATAATTATGTATCAGCAGTTCTAAGGAGCGTTCGTGAACATTTAAACAAAAACACCATATACGCACGAGGTCCGTTAATGTTGTCTTTGATTATTTGTGTCCCTGTGTTTGGTCCTCCGGCAGATTCTGATTGGACAAAGATAAATGTGCATATTTGTGACAATGGAAAAAGAAGGAAAAAAATGCCTTTACTAATGTTAAAAAAATTACATTCCATATAGTTCTAAAAATTTGAAGCTACGTGTGCACCGTCGCGCGATGCGATCGAAATATCTTACGGTTGTTTCGTTAAAGTAACAACAGTCTGTAACTCGCAACCGCGAGATTTTGATTTTGGGGACGAGTTTTTGTTATGCAGACGACCCAAGTTTACCCGTAGTCCATAGTACGGTGCAGGCTGTTGCAAAGGCCCACACACGGGTTTTATTATCGATTTTCTTCAATAAGGTTGAACCACGGAGATGGGTGTATGCAGCTGCATTCCTTGAAATGGATTTGTAAGGTAAATCATGTCACGTTCCATTCGTGCAAGAATAATGCAATACATGAAATATTTTGCAGGGCATTGTATGACGATAATTACCACATTTGATCCTCTATAAATGTATGTGTTCACTTTGACGAAGCATTCACAAGTGCTCAACTTTCTAATGTTGCCCAAAGGTGAGGGTTAACTGCCATGTAAAATGCATTTTAATGAAACGTATGTATGTTGAACTACATAGCTAACCATCGTAAATCTGGAATTACAGAAAAGGCTTACAAACTATCAAGTTTAAAAACATAATTCCATAGTCATAAGTACCAATACGTTTTAAAAGGGAGCATTGTAACAATGTAATTAAATAACAAAATCCCAACAATATACAATGCAATTTGTATCACGAGTGCCTCTAAATGCAGCTGCATCTTAAGAAACATGCTTATATAGATTGACCCAATGTATGAATCTTAGGCATCACTTGATTCTATTCCCAGAATTCTAAGAATTCCTAACAGGATTGACATAATCAGGGGATTGAGGCTAGGCTGTTTGGAGCCCGCATTGCATTTGGACAAGGTGGAGCCTGGTCGGCAATGTGTAATTGCCATTATAATGAAATGAGATTTTACTCGACATTCCATAGGATTTCAAAGAGTCCCTATTCTGTTTGATGGCGATGCATGAATTGCTAATTACATTGATGGGGGTTCTGCTGATGTCTATGGAATCGTCTACGGTGGATTCACTCCATTTACATATTCATCATGTGGCAGTGTGTGAAGACAATTAGCTGACAATACTGCTCATGGCTACAGTGTTCTGAGTAGGAATCTGATGTCACATTTTCATGTTACCTGTGTAGTATTTACCAAAGCTTTGCATCTGTGAATACTGATCATAACAATTGCTGTAAAAGGTCACAGTGAATGGATACGTTTTTTAGAGGATCGAACTGTGGTGTTTGCAAATACCTAATTACATTGCCATTTCAGATAAAGAAATTCATTATTTTGATTGAAATCACTTCTGTTTAGACTTTTAGCTTTAAGAATGTTGTGTTATCATTGTGTTCATTATTTTATTGTATATTACAAATATATTAAATGCTGTTTAGGGAAAAGTGGATACCATGTTGCAAAAATTGCTTAAATATTTGTAATCGACACTAATTTCTGTATTATGTAAGAGGTTACACTTGTTCTGTGAATATGCGTAATTAACTTCTTAGATGGCAGGGGAATATATCAAATTGTATTTTTATTTCGGTAGCATAATCGGACAGTGTTCACCATAAGCCATACAAATATTACTCAGTACCATTAAGTTGTAGTTATTTGTTATCCACTCGTTTGTACATTTTGTAGTTGAATGGTAAATGTAAAAAGATTTCACATTTTTGAGAGCTTCCCCATCGTGATATAGCCGCGGTTCTCAAACTCGCAAACCAATCACATACACTCCTGTCGACCATTATATCAATAGTACAAATGTATGCGATACAATAGAACATCAATGGAAATGTTCACTGTAGAAGTCGGGGGGGGGGGGGGGGGGTTGGGCCTCCCAAAATATAACTTTCTCGTGAAATAATTTTGGACTTTTTAGAATTATTTTTTTTCGTTAGGGCTGATCATCTTTGAAAATTATCCAAGTGTTGCAAGCGTTGCGCTTCATAGCACTGGTGTCGTCATTAATGCAATGCTTTAAAAACAATGGTTTTATTGAACTACTAAACTTCAGCATACAAATTACTTAGAGTTGCCTGCGTCCTGAAACAAGGGCTGGATTAATACTGCTTAATAAAACCCTGATCTTCCCCATTGCATATGCTGCATCAACATTGATGAAATGTACGTTTGCACTATGAGAATACAGTATATTTCAACGCTTATTGCATGAAGTGTTAGTTATGTACTAATGCGACTGAAGGGGGGAGGTGCTGTAATTTATTTGTGAAAAGGTGATATGATTGTGTTAGTCGGTAGTGATTGCAAAAGCTTTAACTAACTCTTAAATTATCTCTTAAATGGAGTTCACAATTCTGTTAAGATTCTTTCGCCAGAAGCTGAGCTCTTCAGAAATTCCGGTTTTGACATGTTAATAATGAAATTAAAACTGCATACAGTACAGTGATACAAGAATCGTCAGCACTGCTGTGAACACAACCATGCCCATATCAGCTGACAGGTGGTGTACAATATGCAATGGTGGTTGATTCACGCTAGATTCATAAACAAGCAATTAAACCTTTTTTTTTTTTACAAATTAAGTCCATTGTATATTTTGATCTGCTCTAGTGCTATTGCGTTGCAACGATGACAATTTACTTTCTCAAGTTACAACCATTTTCACTTTGCATCCATTTCTAGTTTGTACTGCTTTATCCAAGACATTCAAGTTAACATTAATCGCTCTTAAACGTTAAGTTATACCTGCATGGCAGGTCTTTTTAGTTTCGGCATATAACGATAATTATTTGAATTATGAAACAAACATGCTTCGGAATTCACGTGCACAATTGATGAGTCTGTCATGTCATTACAATTTTAAACACAATTTTATCGTCATTATTATTCAACATAACATACCGTGCTCGTTGCAAGTACATGGAGATAAAGATTTTCTACTCAAAAGGGAAATTGATTAAAGTTTGGTGAGGAATCAATTGGAAACTTGTGATGGTCAAATCCCATTGAGAACCGCTGCATTGGAGTATGGTTACCCATTGTCTCTACGTGTTATGTTTTGTATCCTCGTGTGTTATTTTGTACTGCATATTACTTTTAATACAACCCTTTTGTCACAATATGTCTGTCAGTCACTGAAGTAGATATAGTGTGTGTTCCTTGAAATTACAAGGTTGTGCACACGATGATATCTGCGAGGATGTGACTCATTGAATCCTGGATCGCCGAATAGAGTTCAAAATAACTTACAAACACCTTGTGAAAGACCCAACGCAGAAGGTCCCTTCCTGGGTTTAATCTTCCACGAAGCTCATGGAACGCCTTCAACCTCTGGTGGTCCTGAACCAGTGGATCGGGAAAATCGATATCGCAGAATCGCTGCTGACCAAAGCGCTTAACCAGTGTATTAACCCTGGAGGGATGATGAGTGGTTAAATTCGGGCTAGGAGTTTAACACGTAGGCTTTTGCGACCAAAATTTATAATAAAGGGTTTTGGGTTAGGAACTAATTGGCGCGTTTTATTTACGTGACAAGCCTTACTGGCTGTGTTGGGTGGTGGAGGGTTACGACACCCCGGCTCGGATTTAAAATTTCAATCTTCTGAATGTGCGATTGCATCAATGCCACGCAGATCGAGAGTATCTGACGAAATAGAAAATGACAATTTACCTTGTATCTTGGTAAAGTGAAGTAATGAGTATTATATTCGAGTGAGATAAGTAATATAACAATAGTACATAAACTCATAACCCAAATTCCTTGGTTTAACTGTAAATAAATAAATTCATGTGGCAGGAAAACCAAGAGTTCCCAAGGAAAATCCAAAAATTATCTAATAAACCCGCGATCATGGTTACCAAGGCCACCCAAAACAACATGACAACCACGCCATTTGGAGATTTAAGTAAATACAGGATATCAATGTGCATGTTATACATCGCAGTGCAGATGCCATTGCGTAAAATGCTATTCTAGTGTGCGAGATGTTAGGGATACGGAGAGCGTTTTTACTCCTCTGATAAGGGGCTGGGAGAATGATGCCTTCCTGCGGGGCGCCCCATGTTTTTTGGAAGTAGCGTAACTAGCGCGGGGCCAGGAGGTGCCATGCCCCCCCCCCCCCCAGGTGCCCAAAGCTACGAGTTGGGGGCCCTCTTGACAACCACCACGACATACGTTTTCAACAACAGTGTAAACGAGTAAAACGCTTATTTAAAACGCGGTTCAGATTACCATTGCAATAATTGAAGATTTGGTCCAACATGGATTGAACGCCGATGTGCCAGCTCTGACGAGACACTGCCTCGCCAATACATCCTTCACCTGGAGTGGAACATTCTACAAATAAACTGGAGGCACCCCAATAGGTTCTCCTTTAATCTTCGGTTGTGGCCAACATTTTCGTGGAAAATTTTGAGACGGACACTATCCAGGCATCCACTCTACGCCCGTCCTTGTCGAAGTATAACGTAGGATGACACGTTTGTTATCTGGCCACATGGCCGACCGGCTCTGAAACAATTCCTCAACCACATCAATTCCATACACCCAGCAATAAAATTCACCATGGACGTAGAAAAGGATGGCATGCTGCCTTTCTTGGATGTTTTAATCAAAAAGAGACCAGATGGCTCAATGAGCCATTCTGTCTACAGGAAAGTAACCCATACTGACACCTACCTAAAATCTGATTCCCACCACCATACAGTGAGGGAAAAAAGTATTTGATCCCCTGCTGATTTTGTACGTTTGCCCACTGTCAAAGAAATGATCAGTCTATCATTTTAATGGTAGGTTTATTTGAACAGTGAGAGACAGAATAACAAAAAAAATCCAGAAAAACGCATGTCAAAAATGTTATAAATTGATTTGCATTTTAATGAGAGAAATAAGTATTTGACCCCTCTGCGAAACATGACTTAGTACTTGGTGGCAAAACCCTTGTTGGCAATCACAGAGGTCAGACGTTTATTGTAGTTGGCCACCAGGTTTGACCCCCTCTCAATCAGCTTTCTGGCTCCCAGGTGTCTTTTATACAGGTAACGAGCTGAGATGAGCACACTCTTAAAGGGAGTGCTCCTAATCTCAACTTGTTACCTGTATAAAAGACACCTGTCCACAGAAGCAATCAATCAGATTCCAAACTTTACACCATGGCCAAGACCAAAGAGCTCTCCAAGGATATCAGGGACAAGATTGTAGACGTACACAAGGCTGGAATGGGCTACAAGACCATTGTCAAGCAGCTTGGTGAGAAGGTGACAAAATATTCTTGGTTCTTTCGGTAAAGTCACGTTGAAGGGAAACAAAAGAATAAAAAATATATACAAGAATATGAATCACTGCAGTCACGAAAGCTTTAAATCAAAGGTGACAACAGTTGGTGGGATTATTCGCAAATAGAAGAAACACAAAAGAACTGTCAATCTCCCTCGGCCTGGGGCTCCATGCAAGATCTCACCTCGTGGAGTTGCAATGATCATGAGAACGGTGAGGAATCAGCCCAGAACTACACGGGAGGATCTTGTCAATGATCTCAAGGCAGCTGGGACCATAGTCACCAAGAAAACAATTGGTAACAGACTACGCCGTGAAGGACTGAAATCCTGCAGCGCCCGCAAGGTCCCCTGCTCAAGAAAGCACATATACATGCCCGTCTGAAGTTTGGCAATGAACATCTGAATGATTAAGTGGACAACTGGGTGAAAGTGTTGTGGTGATATGAGACCAAAATGAAGCTCTTTGGCATCAACTCAACTCGCCGTGTTTGGAGGAGGAATGCTGCCTATGACCCCAAAAACACCATCCCCACCGTCAAACATGGAGGTGGAAACATTATGCTTTGGGAGTGTTTTTCTGCTAAGGGACAGGACAACTTCACCGCATTAAAGGGACGATGGACGGGGCCATGTACCGTCAAATCTTGGGTGAGAACCTCCTTCCCTCAGCCAGGGCATTGAAAATGGGTCGTGGATGGGTATTCCAGCATGACAATGACCCAAAACACACGGCCAGGGCAACAAAGGAGCGGCTCAAGAAAAAGCACATTAAGGTCCTGGAGTGGCCTAGCCAGTCTCCATACCTTAATCCCATAGAAAATCTGTGGAGGGAGCTGAAGGTTCGAGTTGCCAAACGTCAGCCTCGAAACCTTAATGACTTGGAGAAGATCTGCAAAGAGGAGTGGGACAAAATCCCTCCTGAGATTTGTGCAAACCTGGTGGCCAACTACAAGAAACGTCTGACCTCTGTGATTGCCAACAAGGGTTTTGCCACCAAGTACTAAGTCATGTTTTGCAGAGGGGTCAAATACTTATTTCCCTCATTAAAATGCAAATCAATTTATAACATTTTTGACATGCGTTTTTATGGATATTTGTTGTTGTTATTCTGTCTCTCACTGTTCAAATAAACCTACCATTAAAATTATAGACTGATCATTTCTTTGTCAGTGGGCAAACGTACAAAATCAGCAGGGGATCAAATACTTTTTTCCCTCACTGTATAGTGCATTTTGGGTTGAAATAGGTAGGCAGCTTATACGCGAATTCGCATAAAGCGAGGAAACCTGTATCGGAACTTTTATTGCCTTGCTGTTGAGGCACATTTCTAAAACTTGGGCGGCCGGTGGAGATGAGTACCTCTCAACACTTTTGAACTTGGAGACAATTTAACTCTTTGTAAATCGGAAATTACATAAACTTGCCATTTGGTGGGACGTTAACATTTGTTTAAAACAATTAATGGCCAGTAATATAGGAGTGTGGAAATTCCACCACGGATTCATGGCTCTCAACATGAATGAGCGCAGCCTCTAATGCTCATTTTGGCATCGAAACACTTTCTGTCTTAAAAACCACATGTACTCGGACTATAAAGTATTGCGTGTCGCCCATTTAGCTCGTTCTGGTGTATCTCCACAGTTGCAATCGCGCAAGGTGGCGCGATACAGATCGCCAATGGCGCGGAGGGTCTCCAGGCGCTGACCATGACGAACACAGGCAACCAACAAGGGGGCGCCACCATCGTGCAGTACGCACAGACCAGCGACGGGCAGCAGTTCTTTGTACCGGGCAGCCAAGTCGTCGTGCAGTGTGTGTATTGCCATCGCATGACCTACCATTCCATGTTCTGTGTATACATTCTGCTGCCTTGTACACACAGCCAACTGTGTTTAGGAACAAATTAAATAAATAATAACAGAACATGATACAAGGAGGAACTATGAACAGGTGACGCCCTATCAAAATGGAATTCAATGGTAAAAAATATGATGGCAAGAACAAAATTATGGTTCACCACAATTGAACAAAAACAGGGCAGATGTTTTTTGTTCGAATGCATGTTGATAGACAGAGGCCTTCAGATCCACAACGCAAAGCGGCAGCTATGCGACTTACTCTTCACCAAATTAATCTGACCCAAGACTTCATTAACGAACCCTTACAGTGTGAAAGCCGAACTTAAATCAGACAGTGGTGGTACTTTTCCAGGCGGTATCGACACGCATTGACCTTCAGTCACCGTGACCGTGTCCACAGCTGCATCAGGCGAGACGTACCAGATTCGTACTCCGACGAGCGGGCTCTCTCAGGGCGTGGTGGTGTCCGCGTCCCCGGGGGGCTTGGCCAGCCCCCAGGGGGGTGCCGAGGAGTCCACGCGCAAGCGCGAGATCCGCCTCTACAAAAACAGGTGCTGCCGCTGCGACCGCCACCACAACTCGTAAAACACGGGGGTGCTTCTCACACCGATAGTAAAGGAGTGGAACATTTGCGGTCATCCAGATAAATTACACATGCATGACAGCGGATTGACAAAGTACTGTAATTTTTTTCAATTTTTTGATAATTCGTTTATTACCAATGAAACTCGTTTTAGCTGGCGTCAGAACAGAGTTGCGTCATTGATGATGCATTTCTGTCCGCCACCTTGTCAAGTTCTGACCACCACATCACATTCTGATTTGTGAAAAGGTTAATGTGTGGGATAGTATTGAACAGATTTGGGAGCTGGAAATCAATTTTTTGAACAGTATGGATACTTAAACTCAGAAACATTTGGTTTTTGTCAAAACTTTAGCTGGTTACTGCATGTCATGTGACTAGATCTACAGTATCTTGCAATTCCATGTGATGGCAGAACTCCTTGTGTAGTCGTGAGCTGAGCAGGTAGTGCATATTGTTTCCAAATATTGCACCACAGCCTTTGTTAAACATAACTTTGGTAATTATTTTGCAACTGTGTTGCAAGCGATGTTGAATGTTCAACGATAATAAAAACTGTTAAGGAATTTTGAGCAAAGTCGCAAAGGAGTCAGACCCAAATGTAACTATTTCCCTGTTATTGTAGCCGTTGTTTAACAGAGACACATTCAAACATCAATGCAGACAATAGAGTTGCAATATAATTGCAAAGAACTAGAGGCCGACCGAAATTCGGTTTTGGCGCAGAAAGTTGGCATATAGCCACTTTCGGTTTCGGCCGAAAGTCAATTTCTTACTTTGGGTCTGGTTTCGGTTTCGGCCGAAACTGATATTGACTTTCGGTCGTCAACCGAAGATCTATTTTTTTTATTAACGCTAGTGCTACGTCTATCAGCCGGTCAGTCGGCACTAGGCAATCCTATGCGATAGGCTGCATACGCACACACACGTCAGCAGCAGCAGCTTGCGAGCGAGGTTACAGCCGCAACCATGGTCTGGGGCCGTCAATAAATGACGTCACGCACCTAGGCGGGGGGAGGGGGGGGGCAGACATTTGTGACGATGTGTGACGATGGGGGGGGGGGGGGGTTTGAGAAATGTGACATCGCATCAAAATGCGCAACTTTAAATAAATATAGACACAACACGTTCTACTTAATTAAATAGACTTTTTAATAAATGTTTTCTCCTACAACATCAGATTGTAGCGCCACATTAAATACGTGCTATAATGACAATAGTTTAAAGCGATTTGAAGCATGTAAACATTGCCGTGGTGCTGGCCACCCACCCTCTCGTGTGCCGTGCCGGCCTTCAGAGGTGCTCGCTAACAGCACTTGCCCCCGACAGTCTCACAGGCTACACGGGGGATCTTTGTCTTTAGCCTGTGTGTGTGTGGGGGCGTTCAGCGACTGCGTACCCGGCGGCCCGAGTTCGATTCCCGCTCACGGCCAGTGACGATTATTTGAACCGGTCCTGGGCCTCCCCTAGGTCTACTCGGCCTCAAACTAGTAAGTGGTGTGGTGTGTGAACATCGCCAAGTCCCGGGCGACATTGGGTAGTAAAGCTAGTATTTCATAAATCTTGTGTTCGGTAACTTCGGTAATATACCTTTCTGTTTCGGTCTTGGTCGAAAGTGTAGTTAAACTTTCGGTTTCGGCATTCGGTTTCGGCCGAAAGTGAGATGTCGTTGCTTTTTAAACGCTTTGTAAATCCCAATAGCTTTGTAGACATACCTCGCGCATGACTGCGTGTGTGTGTGTGCCCAATTTCAGGGAGGCAGCACGTGAATGCCGGCGGAAGAAAAAGGAGTACGTGAAGTGCCTGGAGAACCGCGTAGCCGTGCTGGAAAATCAGAATAAGACCCTCATTGAGGAACTCAAGACACTCAAGGACCTGTACTGCCACAAGAACGACTAGCACACACACGCGCACCACCCACCAAACTCGCTAAACCCGGGTCCTCATGGTAACCATGGTCCCCAGCCTTGCCCTTTACACGATCCGAAAGACTCCTTTTTCTGAATGCCCTTACCAGCCTAGAAGAAGTCTCGGTAGGTTTCATCCAAAAAAACAATGGTAGGGTGAGTTGCAAGCGCTTGCTTCACTTTTTGGCATATCGGCAGTTTCCACTGGAATTCTCAGCAGAAAACTGCAGATATTTGGCAGTTGATATGGTGAATGTTGGCTGTAATTGCCTTTCTGCAAGCACAGAATGGATAAGAGATATTCCTGTAATTGTCGAGGTATACAAGGTAACTTTCCCATCGCCAAAAAGTTAAAAGAAAACCAACAAAATGTAAGTCTCTATGAGCAACTTAAGTTAGATTTTTGCTGGATGAAGCAAACTGCTGCGCTTGGCCCAGTAAAAGAAGATAGCTTAAAACCTAGTCTTGGGCATAAATGGTAATGTAAAAATGATTTTAAAAATAATAATATTGATGTATTTGCATAAAACTTTTTTGGTTTATATTATAGGATGTAATGAATATATATAAAAATGGTTCATAAGATTTATATTTTCTACTTTATCTGTTCTGTATTTTAATTGGATAGAAGATATTTGGATGCCTCGCATTTATTTATCCATTTTTAGTGACGCGATTATTACCACAATAGAATGCCTGTTAAATAGAAAGCACTGCAGTAATATTTGGCTTTTGATAACAAGTTGCAGTGTTTCCATTGACCGTTTAAGGCTCAATATGATGGGTGCCCTTTCGTGATTTGTATGTTTTGTAAAATCAACAATACATTTCGGCCATGAGCATTGGCATGCATTGGTTATTTAAAAACACTCATTTACAATGAAATAAATAAAAACATGCCTTTTGCAAAAATGGGTATTTTTGTGCTGTTAAATAGGCCCACATTTTGAGGTAAACTTTTACACGGAGATGTATCCATTTTTTAAAGTCATATGCATGCCATGGAGCCTCATGTACAAACTTGATTTTTCAAAGAATAATTATGTATCAGCAGTTCTAAGGAGCGTTCGTGAACATTTAAACAAAAACACCATATACGCACGAGGTCCGTTAATGTTGCCTTTGATTATTTGTGTCCCTGTGTTTGGTCCTCCGGCAGATTCTGATTGGACAAAGATAAATGTGCATATTTGTGACAATGGGAAAAGAAGGAAAAAAATGCCTTTACCAATGTTAAAAAATTACATTCCATATAGTTCTAAAAATTTGAAGCTACGTGTGTACCGTCACGCGATGCGATCGAAATATCTTACGGTTGTTTCGTTAAAGTAACAACAGTCTGTAACTCGCAACCGCGAGATTTTGATTTTGGGGACGAGTTTTTGTTATGCAGACGACCCAAGTTTACCCGTAGTCCAAAGTACGATGCAGGCTGTTGCAAAGACGCACACACGGGTTTTATTATCGATTTTCTTCAATAAGGTTGAACCACGGAGATGGGTGTATGCAGCTGCATTCCTTGAAATGGATTTGTAAGGTAAATCATGTCACGTTCCATTCGTGCAAGAATAATGCAATACATGAAATATTTTGCAGGGCATTGTATGACGATAATTACCACATTTGATCCTCTATAAATGTATGTGTTCACTTTGACGAAGCATTCACAAGTGCTCAACTTTCTAATGTTGCCCAAAGGTGAGGGTTAACTGCCATGTAAAATGCATTTTAATGAAATGTATGTATGTTGAACTACATAGCTAACCATCCTAAATCTGGAATTACAGAAAAGGCTTACAAACTATCAAGTTTAAAAACATAATTCCATAGTCATAAGTACCAATAAGTTTTCAAAAGGGAGCATTGTAACAATGTAATTAAATAACAAAATCCCAACAATATACAATGCAATTTGTATCACGAGTGCCTCTAAATGCAGCTGCATCTTAAGAAACATGCTTATATAGATTGACCCAATGTATGAGTCTTAGGCATCACTTGATTCTATTCCCAGAATTCTAAGAATTCCTAACAGGATTGACATAATCAGGGGATTGAGGCTAGGCTGTTTGGAGCCCGCATTGCATTTGGACAAGGTGGAGCCTGGTCGGCAATGTGTAATTGCCATTATAATGAAATGAGATTTTACTCGACATTCCATAGGATTTCAAAGAGTCCCTATTCTGTTTGATGGCGATGCATGAATTGCTAATTACATTGATGGGGGTTCTGCTGATGTCTATGGAATCGTCTAGGGTGGATTCACTCCATTTACATATTCATCATGTGGCAGTGTGTGAAGACAATTAGCTGACAATACTGCTCATGGCTACAGTGTTCTGAGTAGGAATCTGATGTCACATTTTCATGTTACCTGTGTAGTATTTACCAAAGCTTTGCATCTGTGAATACTGATCATAACAATTGCTGTAAAAGGTCACAGTGAATGGATACGTTTTTTAGAGGATCGAACTGTGGTGTTTGCAAATACCTAATTACATTGCCATTTCAGATAAAGAAATTCATTATTTTGATCGAAATCACTTCTGTTTAGACTTTTAGCTTTAAGAATGTTGTGTTATCATTGTGTTCATTATTTTATTGTATATTACAAATATATTAAATGCTGTTTAGGGAAAAGTGGATACCATGTTGCAAAAATTGCTTAAATATTTGTAATCGACACTAATTTCTGTATTATGTAAGAGGTTACACTTGTTCTGTGAATATGCGTAATTAACTTCTTAGATGGCAGGGGAATATATCAAATTGTATTTTTATTTCGGTAGCATAATCGGACAGTGTTCACCATAAGCCATACAAATATTACTCAGTACCATTAAGTTGTAGTTATTTGTTATCCACTCGTTTGTACATTTTGTAGTTGAATGGTAAATGTAAAAAGATTTCACATTTTTGAGAGCTTCCCCATCGTGATATAGCCGCGGTTCTCAAACTCGCAAACCAATCACATACACTCCTGTCGACCATTATATCAATAGTACAAATGTATGCGATACAATAGAACATCAATGGAAATGTTCACTGTAGAAGTCGGGGGGGGGGGGGGGGGTGGGCCTCCCAAAATATAACTTTCTCGTGAAATAATTTTGGACTTTTTAGAAATCTTTTTTTTCGTTAGGGCTGATCATCTTTGAAAATTATCCAAGTGTTGCAAGCGTTGCGCTTCATAGCACTGGTGTCGTCATTAATGCAATGCTTTAAAAACAATGGTTTTATTGAACTACTAAACTTCAGCATACAAATTACTTAGAGTTGCCTGCGTCCTGAAACAAGGGCTGGATTAATACTGCTTAATAAAACCCTGATCTTCCCCATTGCATATGCTGCATCAACATTGATGAAATGTACGTTTGCACTATGAGAATACAGTATATTTCAACGCTTATTGCATGAAGTGTTAGTTATGTACTAATGCGACTGAAGGGGGGAGGTGCTGTAATTTATTTGTGAAAAGGTGATATGATTGTGTTAGTCGGTAGTGATTGCAAAAGCTTTAACTAACTCTTAAATTATCTCTTAAATGGAGTTCACAATTCTGTTAAGATTCTTTCGCCAGAAGCTGAGCTCTTCAGAAATTCCGGTTTTGACATGTTAATAATGAAATTAAAACTGCATACAGTACAGTGATACAAGAATCGTCAGCACTGCTGTGAACACAACCATGCCCATATCAGCTGACAGGTGGTGTACAATATGCAATGGTGGTTGATTCACGCTAGATAAACAAGCAATTAAAACTTTTTTTTGTTACAAATTAAGTCCATTGTATATTTTGATCTGCTCTAGTGCTATTGCGTTGCAACGATGACAATTTACTTTCTCAAGTTACAACCATTTTCACTTTTCATCCATTTCTAGTTTGTACTGCTTTATCCAAGACTTTCAAGTTAACATTAATCGCTCTTAAACGTTAAGTTATACCTGCATGGCAGGTCTTTTTAGTTTCGGCATATAACGATAATTATTTGAATTATGAAACAAACATGCTTCGGAATTCACGTGCACAATTGATGAGTCTGTCTTGTCATTACAATTTTAAACACATTGTATCGTCATTATTATTCAACATAACATACCGTGCCCGTTGCAAGTACATGGAGATAAAGATTTTCTACTGAAAAGGGAATTTGATTAAAGTTTGGTGATGAATCAATTGGAAACTTGTGATGGTCAAATCCCATTGAGAACCGCTGCATTGGAGTATGGTTACCCATTGTCTCTACGTGTTATGTTTTGTATCCTCGTGTGTTATTTTGTACTGCATATTACTTTTAATACAACCCTTTTGTCACAATATGTCTGTCAGTCACTGAAGTAGATATAGTGTGTGTTCCTTGAAATTACAAGGTTGTGCACACGATGATATCTGCGAGGATGTGACTCATTGAATCCTGGATCGCCGAATAGAGTTCAAAATAACCTTGTGAAAGACCCAACGCAGAAGATCCCTTCCTGGGTTTAATCTTCCACGAAGCTCATGGAACACCTTCAACTTCTGGTGGTCCTGAACCAGTGGATCGGGAAAATCGATATCGCAGAATCGCTGCTGACCAAAGCGCTTAACCAGTGTATTAACCCTGGAGGGATGATGAGTGGTTAAATTCGGGCTAGGAGTTTAACACGTAGGCTTTTGCGACCAAAATTTATAATAAAGGGTTTTGGGTTAGGAACTAATTGGCGCGTTTTATTTACGTGACAAGCCTTACTGGCTGTGTTGGGTGGTGGAGGGTTACGACACCCCGGCTCGGATTTAAAATTTCAATCTTCTGAATGTGCGATTGCATCAATGCCACGCAGATCGAGAGTATCTGACGAAATAGAAAATGACAATTTACCTTGTATCTTGGTAAAGTGAAGTAATGAGTATTATATTCGAGTGAGATAAGTAATATAACAATAGTACATAAACTCATAACCCAAATTCCTTGGTTTAACTGTAAATAAATAAATGCATGTGGCAGGAAAACCAAGAGTTCCCAAGGAAAATCCAAAAATTATCTAATAAACCCGCGATCATGGTTACCAAGGCCACCCAAAACAACATGACAACCACGCCATTTGGAGATTTAAGTAAATACAGGATATCAATGTGCATGTTATACATCGCAGTGCAGATGCCATTGCGTAAAATGCTATTCTAGTGTGCGAGATGTTAGGGATACGGAGAGCGTTTTTACTCCTCTGATAAGGGGCTGGGAGAATGATGCCTTCCTGCAGGGCGCCCCATGTTTTTTGGAAGTAGCGTAACTAGCGCGGGGCCAGGAGGTGCCATGCCCCCCCCCCCAGGTGCCCAAAGCTACGAGTTGGGGCCCTCTTGACAACCACCACGACATACGTTTTCAACAACAGTGTAAACGAGTAAAACGCTTATTTAAAACGCGGTTCAGATTACCATTGCAATAATTGAAGATTTGGTCCAACATGGATTGAACGCCGATGTGCCAGCTCTGACGAGACACTGCCTCGCCAATACATCCTTCACCTGGAGTGGAACATTCTACAAACAAACTGGAGGCACCCCAATAGGTTCTCCTTTAATCTTCGGTTGTGGCCAACATTTTCGTGGAAAAATTTGAGACGGACACTATCCAGGCATCCACTCTACGCCCGTCCTTGTCGAAGTATAACGTAGGATGACACGTTTGTTATCTGGCCACATGGCCGACCGGCTCTGAAACAATTCCTCAACCACATCAATTCCATACACCCAGCAATAAAATTCACCATGGACGTAGAAAAGGATGGCATGCTGCCTTTCTTGGATGTTTTAATCAAAAAGAGACCAGATGGCTCAATGAGCCATTCTGTCTACAGGAAAGTAACCCATACTGACACCTACCTAAAATCTGATTCCCACCACCATACAGTGAGGGAAAAAAGTATTTGATCCCCTGCTGATTTTGTACGTTTGCCCACTGTCAAAGAAATGATCAGTCTATCATTTTAATGGTAGGTTTATTTGAACAGTGAGAGACAGAATAAAAAAAATCCAGAAAAACGCATGTCAAAAATGTTATAAATTGATTTGCATTTTAATGAGAGAAATAAGTATTTGACCACTCTGCGAAACATGACTTAGTACTTGGTGGCAAAACCCTTGTTGGCAATCACAGAGGTCAGACGTTTATTGTAGTTGGCCACCAGGTTTGACCCCCTCTCAATCAGCTTTCTGGCTCCCAGGTGTCTTTTATACAGGTAACGAGCTGAGATGAGCACACTCTTAAAGGGAGTGCTCCTAATCTCAACTTGTTACCTGTATAAAAGACACCTGTCCACAGAAGCAATCAATCAGATTCCAAACTTTACACCATGGCCAAGACCAAAGAGCTCTCCAAGGATATCAGGGACAAGATTGTAGACGTACACAAGGCTGGAATGGGCTACAAGACCATTGTCAAGCAGCTTGGTGAGAAGGTGACAAAATATTCTTGGTTCTTTCGGTAAAGTCACGTTGAAGGGAAACAAAAGAATAAAAAATATATACAAGAATATGAATCACTGCAGTCACGAAAGCTTTAAATCAAAGGTGACAACAGTTGGTGGGATTATTCGCAAATAGAAGAAACACAAAAGAACTGTCAATCTCCCTCGGCCTGGGGCTCCATGCAAGATCTCACCTCGTGGAGTTGCAATGATCATGAGAACGGTGAGGAATCAGCCCAGAACTACACGGGAGGATCTTGTCAATGATCTCAAGGCAGCTGGGACCATAGTCACCAAGAAAACAATTGGTAACAGACTACGCCGTGAAGGACTGCAATCCTGCAGCGCCCGCAAGGTCCCCTGCTCAAGAAAGCACATATACATGCCCGTCTGAAGTTTGGCAATGAACATCTGAATGATTAAGTGGACAACTGGGTGAAAGTGTTGTGGTGATATGAGACCAAAATGAAGCTCTTTGGCATCAACTCAACTCGCCGTGTTTGGAGGAGGAATGCTGCCTATGACCCCAAAAACACCATCCCCACCGTCAAACATGGAGGTGGAAACATTATGCTTTGGGAGTGTTTTTCTGCTAAGGGACAGGACAACTTCACCGCATTAAAGGGACGATGGACGGGGCCATGTACCGTCAAATCTTGGGTGAGAACCTCCTTCCCTCAGCCAGGGCATTGAAAATGGGTCGTGGATGGGTATTCCAGCATGACAATGACCCAAAACACACGGCCAAGGCAACAAAGGAGCGGCTCAAGAAAAAGCACATTAAGGTCCTGGAGTGGCCTAGCCAGTCTCCACACCTTAATCACATAGAAAATCTGTGGAGAGAGCTGAAGGTTCGAGTTGCCAAACGTCAGCCTCGAAACCTTAATGACTTGGAGAAGATCTGCAAAGAGGAGTGGGACAAAATCCCTCCTGAGATTTGTGCAAACCTGGTGGCCAACTACAAGAAACGTCTGACCTCTGTGATTGCCAACAAGGGTTTTGCCACCAAGTACTAAGTCATGTTTTGCAGAGGGGTCAAATACTTATTTCCCTCATTAAAATGCAAATCAATTTATAACATTTTTGACATGCGTTTTTATGGATATTTGTTGTTGTTATTCTGTCTCTCACTGTTCAAATAAACCTACCATTAAAATTATAGACTGATCATTTCTTTGTCAGTGGGCAAACGTACAAAATCAGCAGGGGATCAAATACTTTTTTCCCTCACTGTATAGTGCATTTTGGGTTGAAATAGGTAGGCAGCTTATACGCGAATTCGCATAAAGCGAGGAAACCTGTATCGGAACTTTTATTGCCTTGCTGTTGAGGCACATTTCTAAAACTTGGGCGGCCGGTGGAGATGAGTACCTCTCAACACTTTTGAACTTGGAGACAATTTAACTCTTTGTAAATCGGAACTTACATAAGCTTGTCATTTGGTGGGAAGTTAACATTTGTTGTTTTAAAAAATTAATGGCCAGTAATATAGGAGTGTGGAAATTCCACCACGGATTCATGGCTCTCAACATGAATGAGCGCAGCCTCTAATGCTCATTTTGGCATCGATACACATATTCTGTCTTAAAAACCACATGTACTCGGACTATAAAGTATTGCGTGTCGCCCATTTAGCTCGTTCTGGTGTATCTCCACAGTTGCAATCGCGCAAGCTGGCGCGATACAGATCGCCAATGGCGCGGAGGGTCTCCAGGCGCTGACCATGACGAACACAGGCAACCAACAAGGGGGCGCCACCATCGTGCAGTACGCACAGACCAGCTTTGGCACTTTATCAAACTATAGCTAAAACTACCCAATAGTTCCATAAATATAACAGGTCCCTGCAGGGTGGGCTGGTAGGACAAGTCTCTGCGCTGTCTATTGCTGATTTTACACCCTACAGCCCGAGATTTCACTTCGTTAAAGTATTGAAAGGGGACGGACGGACGGACACATAATCTATTGCAGGCTGGTACACTCAGTTTACAACTTCGTTCCTACCAGTATAATTTTTTAAAATGCATGAATGAGGTTATGCATGGTATTGACCGATGGGTTGTACCATTCCCATGCTGGAGGTGCCACCTTTAAAAAAATAAAAATAACAACAGGTTTACAACTTTATACTTACAATTAAATGCTATTTTTTATGCTAATTCCTTTGTCAAGGCACCTTGATTCCTCTCACACAGCTTAAAGTTCGCGGTCTGAGCTTGGCTGTGTTCACTCCAGCGCTGTCCTCGAGACAGTCTGGTCCCTTCACCTGATGAAGGCCGCTTGTGTTGTGGCCGAAACGTCGTGATTTTTGTTGTTTTATTTTTTTACCTACGTGACTTTACCGAATAGAACCAAAGAGTATGGATCCTTGCAGTCACGAAAGCTTCAAATCTAGAATTTATACTTACAAGTATATCATGAGATTGTGACCAAATCACCCAAAATTTTGCTAAGCAGAGTTCAACCTGCGAAGTGTTTTGATGGGTGGCCGGCTATCATGCGAAAACAAGAGGTTGGTGAACAGTAGAGGGCAGTGCAGCAACATCTATTGTTGCACTCTAAATCTATGACTTCACGTCTGTGCGCATCCCTCCCACCTTCCCCAACCGCACACTTTCCAGCGTGGTGAGTCATGGTCAAATAGTCCGCCACGGACTTGCACGGGTGTGGTGGGAGCAGGGGGGGTCTATAGTGTCCGTCTCACAACCACTCCAATAGGGCGCTGAAGAGAGAGATGTTTCCACACAGGGGCGGAGCCAGGATTTTCAGGCCGGGGTGACATTCGACAAATGTTAATTTCAAGAATGATTTAGAGAGAGTCAGGCTGTTGAACTAGACGCCATCGATTGGCGGACACACTCTGACAATGCA